TTTAGAAATGCCCTTGTGTTGATGGTTTGCAATTTGCAGAATTCATTTTTCAAATGAAAGACAGATGTATTTTTCCCTGAACTAAAGGGTCTGGATAAATTAAAACTAATTGGTTTTATGTGCTTCTGATAATTGAATGAGATGCACATAAGCTATATTATGATGGAGGAAAGAACAACCCTTGATTTTTATAAATGAGATGCAGCAAATGACAGCATCTTAAAGTCTATTAAAGGTTAGAATCAAGCAGTAAAAGAGCTCTGCTCTGTTAGAGGAAGAGTCTTAGAGACCTTTACAGTACCAGCACAAGCAGAGTCACAAAGGGTGTTTTCAGTGTAATTCATTCATTGGCAGAACTGGTTGAAGTGAAACATGGACAGCAAAACCTCAGTTCTCACTTTCCAATCTTAACAATATCTTCTGCGTACAGCCAACTACATTATCAGACATAGATAGCACTTCACGTGGCTTCTGTAATGCTACTTGGATGTGTGCCCCTTCTATATAAAAAAAAATAAAATAACAAAGTTAGACATTATCAGGCAGGCAGCCAAATGGCAGCCAATTAAAATATTCCAAGGACTCCCAGGTAAGTATTTTAGAAATAAGCATTTAACAGCTGTTAAGTTTGTCTGTAGTTTGAGAACAAGGCACATTCATTTTACACTGCAAATCTGCTCATTAATGGTCACAGGAACATGGCTGTTACATATGAAGCAACTACGTGGATGCACATCAGCATCTGGGGCAGCAGCACAGCACCCTGGATGGATAAAGCCAGTCTGATGTTACTTCAACAGCAATTCTGTGACATTAACAGAAATGCACTAAAATACCTAAAGGAAGACAAGAGGAATAGAAGTCTTAGCATTATAGCACTTAGGAATAACACAAATTTCACATGATTCCTTTATCATTATGCTGGATATTTCTCTTCTGGCAAGCTGGAAGAAGAACTGATATTTAAAGTACCAAGATACAGAAATTGAATGAAAAATATTTGGCAAGTTGCTACCAGCTAGATTTACCTGTAAAAGCCACCCCCTGGTGCCAGGCAATCTGATAGGTACCCAGGGAAAGGTGATTTCAAGAGAAGAGTATGAGCTCCACTCGATGCTCCATCAGTTTGGGATATAAGAGAAGAAGAAATACTGGCTGGTAGGAAAGAGTTCTGAAATGAAATAGGGCTAGTAAAGCTCAAAATCTTAATACATGGGTCGAAATTCCCCATCAGAGATGAGCAGATCTCTGTGAAGCACCAGGGTTCCTCAGAGCATCCAGAAACATCTCGTTACTGCCATATCGTAACCCTCATGGCTTAGATCAGGCCCACTCTGACAGGTAAAGTGAACAAGTACGCTGGTCTTGGTACAGGTCATAAAGCTTGAAAACGGACAGAAGATACTTGCTAGGTTTTCATCCTCCCCAAACTATTCCATTCTCTGGTTCTAAATATGTTTGCAACATATTCAAATAAGAAGAGTGGTGGAGTCAGATTTTTCCTGGCTATAACATCAAGCTCTTAAAAAAATAATCATGAGGGAAAAAAAGCTGAGAGACTGTTGGAATATTAATATTTAAACATCACATACAAAAATTATGCTGCATGTATTTTCTTTAGTTGAAAGAAAAGAAAGGAAACATTTGCTCCCAAGATAACAAAGGAATCCTCAAAAATCTCTCCAGTAATCCAATCCTTGAGAGGTTCACCTATTCTTGTACTGTATCACCACCAACAAGAGTAATGCACCTGCCCACCAAGCAGTCTTTTACACCAAGGTACGTAATACTGAGAGCTGCTGGAAAACAGAAAACAGCCACATTCAAAAAGGCAAGAGACAGAACTGTAGAGTCTGCCAGACTACTGAAAAGTAGGTGTGCCCACATTAATCCTAGAATACTTGACTATGTAATCAATGTGACTATCCTCTTTCAAAATCCAGACTGATTGCCAAGTTAATTCACAGGATTTATGTTTTGTAAAATCAGGTTACCAAAAGTGAATGTACACAAAAAGACATGCAGACCTAGTCTAGAAGCGCAAAAAAATAAGTTGGTCCTTCACCTTTTTCCCCCCTTCATTTTCTTTACAAGGACAGAAAATATATTTTTCTGTGCAAATCCCTTGATACTTGGGGTTAGCTCTAGCCATCCCTACAACAGGCATAGGAAGAAGTGAAAAAAAGAAAAAAAAAACCCAACAAACAAAATCAAACATAACCATTTGCACATTGTATTTTTATCCAGGCAGAAATGCAGAGAGGTACATTAAACCACATCCATAATCATAAGCAGCAAGCTTTCAACACTAGATTTGTTCTATATGCAACAGAAAAACAAGCAATAAATGTCACGGAACTGCATCAGTTCAGATGCTCTTTTTGGTCTTCTAGTCAGCATATATCAGTTCCAGCACTGTGTCTTGATGAGGGAAAAAAAAAAAAAAATTCAACACAAGGAAGACATCTTCAAGTGTGTTAAACCTAGGAATACAAAACTAAGATGGATTTAAATCATCACTGACCAACCAGAGTTTACTAATACATTGAAGGAAGCTTATTTTTGGTCCAAAGTTTGTTAGAGGCATTATCAGAAGCATTTTTTTCTTTCAAGAAAAAGGGATGGGAAAGGAAAAATATTAAAACCTGATGATGAAAACGGGCAGTGTTCTCTCCAACAAGCAAACACAAAGCATTAACTGGATGGTTGAGGGCTCTAGGCCCATGTTACAGCAGCACCTGCTTCATTGGTCTAGTTAAAAGGGCCGGGAACAGCGTGGAAACAGTCAGCCTATCTGTGCAAGGGAAAGGAGTGTAATAGGAATATCTGGAAAAGTAACTAAAAAAGAAAGAAAATGCTGTATTCATGAGAGAAAAAGCACTGGCCTTAATCCACAAAGTAGAACACCTGCCTTCCGATTTTGTTCTTAGAATTTCTGGTAAAGAACTACTGTAATAAAACATCAATATATGGTAAACTTTATAAAGAAAACCGAAGTGGAAAATATGCCCTCACCTTAAAAGACAAGAAATGAGGCAGGAAATCAAATCAATGGTCTGTTCAGCCTGACGGCTCTAGTTTTTATGAATTAGGGTAACTGAAGTAGTTTTTCCTGTAAAAGAAATTGTTGAACAGATTACTGTCGAGGTTGTCTAATATTAGTGCATAATTGATGGGGGGGACAGACGACAAATGCATACTAAATTAGTGCCCCATGGCGTGGGGAGAATACAAACAAGTACATGCTTAATTGTCAGAATCTAAATAATATCTTGGAATGTTTCCACTGATACATTAGTGAAGGTCACTTGCCACCTCAGAACCCCGAATCACAAGGTTTAAGGCAAGCACTCAAAGAGGTCTTTATAAACATTTGAGGCTACAAAACAAAATTAATTTCTTAAAGCTATCTACATTTTCTAAGTACTCAGTTCTGTGATGGAAGTCATGACCTTTAATAAAATCTATCTGACATGGAGTTTTGTAACTTACTGATCATTATTGCTGTGGTGAAAAATGACCAAAGTAGACACATAATCCTTTCATTCAGTATAAACCCGATAACAACATGGTCAAAAGTACCTACAGTGTTGCGCTCTGAATTTCATCTTCTATAAACTCCTCATTTCAAGCAGTTATGAGAGAACTGTGGAGCATAGATGGAAGATGTAAAGCAGGATATAAAACTTACCTTTCTATATGAATTTTTCTGTGAATTACAATTACCATTAATTTTAGAGTCCTGTCAGGTGATTTACCCATAAACGGGTAAGAACAATTGTCAGACAAAGGCTTTTAATTAATCCCACATTCAAAATTTCCCAACACAACGAGACAGAAATCTTTGTGACTGCAATTTGATACACTTCTTTTGATCAAAGCCTGGAGCGGGGAGGGAGGTTTTTGGGTGCTTTGAAAAGCATCTTAAAAACCACAGTGGAGGGAATTAATAAAAGAAGGAAAAAAGTGTCTCCCACATTCAAATAGAACATGATAAAGGAAAAAAAACCCCAAAACTTTAAAAGAATGTTGAAGCATGTTGCTGTGTCTGAGAACCCTAATGATGTTACCAAAAGAAACCACTTAGATCATTTCAAAACTGTAACTTCCTGCCACCTCCACAGAAAACTACTCAACTACTGAGTACAATTAAGCATCTCTTCAAAGAGAGCAGACAGCCACCAAACCCTCTTTACATTAAAGTACCATGTCGACATGTAAGAGCCAAGTGACCTTTTACTGAAGTTACATTAATTACATTTAACCTCACATTAACTGGGAAGAGGAGAAAAGGAAGAAAAAACCTTTTTATACAACACGGATGCAGCAAAGTTCAAAAGTACAGCTGAGGCCTCATCAGGATCAGATAGAGAAATTACTATGGTTTGGTGAAATGAAACCCACCCAACATCATCTTTTAACTGTTTTTCCTCTTTGTCCTCTTGATCTTAAAAGGCCTGTAAAATAGCAACCTCCAGCACAGGTGAACTTGGTATGCTGAACATAGATCACTCCAAACTGGCATACTGGGAACAGTCAAAGTACTGCAGCACAGAAAGCAAACTGCCCTCCCAGCGACGCTGAGCAGAGGAGCCGACTTCACTGCTAACACAGGCCACCTGCTGAAACTAAGAAGAAAAGGAGCGTAGCAGAAGTAAAATATACTGTGTAAAACTTAATTTCTACTCTGTCCCTTCGTGGTAAAATATATGATAAGAAGTAAAGTACCCTAGACCTATTACACTTTCTACTGTGCATCTCACCATATAAACTTGGGCATATTGAGGCCCCCAATTTAAGAAGAGCCCATTAAGACCTCTTGCACATTACCTCTCAGCTTGGCAGTGTGAAAGTGTATTTGGAGACAAAAATTCAAATCTGCAGGCAAGAAACCTTATATTGAATAAAAATTAAATAAAAATTTAAAAAATAGGACAAGACCAGTTTTCTTTCATTCTGTTACTTCTTACTAATAAAAAAGCCAAAATCAAGGGATTTTAAAGACTTTTTATTGACAGTTTTACAAAACAATCCTTAACAAATCATATCTTGAGCAGCACTCAAAACACCTCTGCATCTACTTCTTGGTTTTGAAGGATACACAAAGATAGAAATTGCGCTAAGTTCTTTGCATGTTCACTGTAATGCAAGAACCTGTTGCTTATCCTCCAGAATTTCTTCCACATCATCCATTTGGCTTTCATCCCAGCCCCTTAAAAGAAACATACCACAGTGATTTTCAACAGCTCAAATTCCTTAAGCTACTCTGCTTTAAGCCTTAGTGACATATGTTCACATATGTAGAAGTAAAAGGCATGAAAATAGCTTTTGCTGTATATTTTGCAAGCATACATACATTACAAGCTATGTTCATTTTTTTTTTCCCCTCAGTTTGTCACATACATTTTCACCTCTTAAGCAAGTAGGAAGTAAATAACATTGTGATTATTGTGCCTTAATAGAGAGAAAACTCACACCCTAGAACAGGCAAATGAGGAAAATGGGTCTCATATTATCCACACGATTCATAAATATTGTTTTCTATTGACCTGCAATTTCAATATTACGAACATTAAAAAAAAAAAACAAACCACCAATCAACCACAAATCTCTGAATCAGTTATATTCACACAGCACGTAGTTAACCTCAGTGTCTCACTGACCCGTACTAGTTACAAGATCATAGTAAGAACCCAGAGACAGACAGAACTTTGGGGAACTTCCTTGTTTTCCAGTCTCCTCCTCAGTCTCCAAGGCGATGTAACAGATTTATCACGGACTGTGGCGAGTTCAATGTTGTTGGCTCACCTGCTCACAACTGCTCTTTTTATAGGTACTTTACAACGAAAGAACTTGGATGATTTGCAATAGACCTACTTTATAAATTTCAGCGCTGTATATTAACAAAAGCTAATGCATTAAGAAAAGCATAATCCCAAAATTTATCGTTTGGAGTCTCAACAGCAAATATATCATTTAATTCTTAATCTGAGCTGCCTGAGAGTACTGGCTTAGAACACCAAGGTACAAAATAGACCATGTTAACATCTGTAATCAGCATGTGAAGTATAATCAGAAAGTGTACACTATTTTTATTTCAGTCCTGGCAAGATGTTTGGTATATTGAGCATTTTACACTAGCATAAAAACATCCCCAACAAGTTTAACTTACCTGGGAGTATCAACTCTGCTGTGGTCTTTTAACTCCAGGTTCTTATGTAGATCTGTAGTATTTATATTTATCTTCCTTGAGTGTCTGCTGGAGGAGGTTACATCTACAGAAGTTAAGCTATAATGTTTTTCAAGACCTGAAATATTTTAGGTCATTTCAGAAACAAATATAAACCAAAAAATGTAGTATCTACACTACCAATTTTAAAGAATTTCACAATATCAACAAAAACTTGCCATTAAAAGTCTCAAAACATCTCTAGCTGCTGAAGGATGTCACTACAAGCCCTCTAATAAATTATGACTTTTTATTAAAGTAATGGAAGGTGTTTGTTTCTAAGATGTTTATGCCAGTACAATATGAAACCTTGTATATAGGGCCCACTAATACCTCTGTGACCTCAAAATACAGTACCAAATGGAGAACTCGGGTAGTTCGTATTTAAAATGGAGCATTCTTCTCTGAGCATATTCAGCACAGATGTTCATTCCTGAAGCATTAATAAGACAAACTCTTCCAAAAACACATGGATTCTGCTGAGTATGTACCAAAAAAGAAAGGACAACTCTCCTGAAATGTGGTATTTGGAAGCCTCAGAAGAGATGTGTGAAAAAAATACAGCAAAACCTAAGGTAAAAGCGTTGTAAAAGATAGAGCACTCTGGAATGCAGATTACTTTTCTTTATTGAAGATGCATCGCAGCCTGGACCTGCCAGGAGAAAAGCAGTACAGCAGCTCAGAGGGAAGGGACTATGCTACAGCCTAACAGACACAGTTATCAAGGCTGCTTATGGCACAAAGTGTCTTCTTGGGCACTTGACCCATCTCTTCACTGAGGTGGAACAGAAGCATCCCAATAATATTTTTTTTCCCTGTATTCAAAGAAAAAATAACCCAGAACTCACTCATTCTGTTCAACCATAACCAACTGACCTTGCCTGCCTGCCATCTCCCACACCCTCAGAAAACAAGGAGATGGGTTTAAAAAGACAGAGGAAAGGGGGTTGAGTCGAACCTAAACTGAGAGGTAATACCAATGTCTGTTGTGTCCTATTAGCCACAGTTCTCGTCACGAGAGATTTACAACATTTCCTGTTCATCGCTTCCCCTGCTTGTTACCCTTACAACAAATCACATCTAGATCCTAACAACACCGGGGGTGTTCATTATTATATATCCACAGAAAGGAAACCTATTTAAAATAAATTTATGATGTGAAGTAAGACCTAGCACATCCTGCAAATTTTCTGCAACAAAACGGAAAGGATAAAAAAACTTGAGGAAGTTGCATGAAAGAGTTTGCTTCTACTAAATTAAGGGTAGGTTAAAGATCAAATGGATCAACTACAAGAGAGTCTTGCATCATCACATATGATGCATTTTTGCATCAAAATCAGTGAGGTCCAAGAAGGCAAATGAAATAACTACTTGTTTTCACTATGTTATTTGTAAACACAAGGGGAGGAAAAAATAAAAGCAGTATTGCCACTTACCTGTATAACTTTGTAATTCTTTTTCCAAAGTAAGTAGGGCTTCTTGCTCAGCCTCATATTCCCAGCAATACTCATCTTGTTTAGTTACAGAAAGGTACTTGGGCTTTGCTATCTCAGTATCAACTCTAAACGTACACACAGGTGAACTCTTTGGTCTTGGCTGGGTGTTTGTTGGACAATTTCCAGTCAGTTTACAGTGCAGCATACTTGTTGACCAAGGTCTTATAAAATCATTCCCTAAAATAACAGAAAAGGTGACAAGTTCTAATAATTCAAGATTTATATACATATACATAAAGAGAATTTTATCTCAGCCTATTATTGACATTCATTGTCGTTAAAATTATGATTAGATCTGAACAGACGAATACTTTTGTTTAAGACTGTGAATTAATAAGAAGCTTAAAATTATACTGGGAAATAGCACCTCATACTTCAGAAAAAAAATAATCTAAATATTACATTCAGTGGTAAAAATTTGGGGGGAGGGGAAAGACAGGATGTGTGTAGAAAGCTTAAAAATTTGGTTCTGTTTTTTGGGGTGGGGTTTTTTTGGGGTTTTTTTTGTTGGTTTTTTTTTTTAATTTAAGGCACCATGAATAAGGTACAGACACTTTCAAATATTTTTGTGGGATTCAAAATTGACAGTTTCAATTTTCTCACATCGCATTTTTAAAATTAAAATGCCAAGCTGGCTGCTTAAGATGAGAGAAATAATGTAAGCTACATTCCTTGAGATGAAGACAGTTGAAATATAGAAAAGTAACTAGAAACTGCAGACGCAGTTATGCGTTACTTGATTCCTCGTTTCCTATAGTTTGTGTAATAAGACTTATTTCGGTAGTACGAAGAAATCTTTTAGTAGCTCAAAACCATTTTGTACTAGATGCTGCAAAACACACAGTAATACTTAACCTCGTTGTAGACAGTTTATCATCTAAATATTCAAGCTAAGAGAAGAGCAATGGGGTAGAGGCAGGAGTGGAAACTAAGCGCAATAAAAAGAATTATCAGGGACAGATGCCAGGAGATCATTTTTAACCTTATGAAAACAATGCCATATATATAAGCCATTATACCCAAAATACAAATAAACAGAAGCAGATATAAAAACGACCTAAATTCAACAGAATCACCACCGACAACCTTTCTACTTTTCACATAAGAAAAGTTAACCTGTTAAAGGACTTCAAAGCTGTTGCTCTCCTACCTGAGTGCGACTGCCACGCTACCATCAGGGGAGAAATTCTATTTTGAGTCTCCAAACCACCTGAAGGTCTGTTCAATTGACTTTCTAAGACACCTTGAACTAGAGAGTCATCAGCGTATTCACTTAAGCTCCTTTCAGTAACCCACTTCCCAGCTCCTGAAATTAAAAAGTACTAGGATATTACTTGCAGGTTTTGTGTCAATATGCATTTGCTGTTACTGTATTTGCTGCATTTAATATGTGATTTAAAGAAGTCATGCAACAAATTTTCTACACATAAAAAAAAAAATAATCAAATATAACACACTAAGAAGATTAAATTCAAATGATATACTGGACAGAATTAATATTCATGTTCACTAATTATTTCATATGTTGTTTCATATACACCATTAAAAGTACTTTTTGGGGATGTATATTATGCACAAAGAAAATCAGAAATTCCTACTGGAACCAAACTCTCAGGGAATACAAAGAAGCATATCAACCTATGGCATTATACTGATGTAATTTACATCAAGGTAGTAAGTTCATTTTACCTTTCCACAGCACCAGGTGTGTGTGTTGGCATGACTGTTACTCCAAAGTGACTTCTAAAAGTAAGCTAGATCCAAGTTCCATGAAGAGAAGGATGTGTTACAGCAACAGTGACAAGTATGTGTGTTGTTTGAGGACTGCATTCGCACACCATTACCTGGAAATGAGATACTCCTGTCCGCAGGGTCAGAGCCAGCACACAGTGAAGAACATGCTTCAAGCATCACTTGTTTAGGGTTTGCACCTACAACAAAGAAACCTTCAAGTCCCCAATACCGTGTAGAAGCAGACTTCTGTCTTTTGGCTAAATCCTGTAACTTGAATAAAACACAAAGATATTAGAAACAAGAAAAGAAACAGGAAACTTCGTAAGTTGTCCTTGCAAGTTTATATTAATAAAACACTCATTTCATAAAATTTTGAATGATTCTGACAGCCTCGCGTAATAAATATTCATAAGGCTGATGGTTTTGCATGATTTATGCTTTAAAATCCTATAAACTTCAATTACTAATGTTCTCAGAGTTTAAGTCTATTCTTCCACTGTGGACGCGAAAAGCAGTTTTGTTTGTTTTCACTTATCTTTGTGTACACCAGCTAAAGTAATACTGTTTAACAATGACACCAAATCTCATGTCTCAACCTCCTCCATGAATTTTTTCGCTTTCATTCTCCACAAAAGAACACTTGAATATCTGAAGGTTAGATAAGAGTATCTACAATTTTTAGCATACAATCAGGAGGCGAAATGACCTTGATACTAACATGGGAAGAGCTCTCTTCTCCCCCAACATGGCCTTTTTTTGTCTGAGACTAGCCTGTTATTTTGCTTTTTTTGAACATCAACAGAAGACAATACACAGTGGAAAGCACAGAGGCCTTCATTCCCTACATATGAACTATGGTAGGCAGAGACAATCCTCTGATTAAAACTGTACTCCTGATTGCTTTGGGGTGGGGTTTCTGGAGGAGAGTGGGGAAAAGTGGTATAGTATTTCATGGTAACCATACAGCTATAATCAACTCATTCAGAAACATGGTATGTTGCACTATGCTAAACTGGGGAAGTAGATTAAGCAACATAGTTTATCTATATAGCAATCAAAGAATATTTTACCACTGAAGACTTTGCAATGACAGGCAAAACCAGACTCTGACTACTGCAGACCCTGTCCAGTTCTTGTGAATCTTCGTTGGTTTTCTGCAGCTGTGTCTCGAGGAGATATCTGCTGCTCCTTAGTTCAGTAGGGTTACAGATCTTCTCGGGTAGTTGACAGGAGCTAAGTGATCTTCTCAATGCCTTTACGTTAACACTCTCCTTTTGCACTGAATTTCTTCCAAGACTGCAGACAGCCATTTTTTCTACAAGAGTACAACAATATCAGGAAAATATGATATTTGTTTTAATGGAAATGAGTATGAATTATAACCTGCAAGTCTACTATATTTTCTTCATGAACTTAAAATATGAAACCTCCACTGCAGGTACCCCTAAGGCATAAAATTACAAGTACAGTTAATTTCCATTAGCTTCCTGCCAACACAGGCTAGTCTTACCAGGTACCAGTTCTGTATACAAAGCATATGTACATCTTTGTCTATGAAAACACTAGATCTTAGTAGTAATCTTAACACGTTTCCAACCACTACTTTATGCTAATGTAACTTTTTACATTTAGAATGCTATAATCTAACCAGAACCAGCGTAAGAACTGCAATAGTAGCAATTTCATAAAATTTCTTTTAAATTATAATGGTTTGAAATACATACTATCAGGCTGCGAATGATTCTGCAAGCTGTTTTTCTTTGTTTGCAGAAGACACAGCCATTTTATTTTTTTATCCTGTGCCCAAAGAAGCACATAAATCACATCTCATTACTCAGCTCTTGTTTGCTTTTTCACATTTGAAGACTTAAATAAGCAGTTTCTTGAACTAAGCACAAAAAGAACAAGTGCTAGGTCCTGTAAGTGCTGGAGCAATTGTTGAGTACTTCTAAGAATAAGAAATGAATTGCCCTTATATTCTAACTTTTTTTTTTAACATTAAAAAAGTGACAATGTATTTTACATAGTCTCGCGACACAGAGTAGGATCTTTAGGACCCCTTAAGAGTGCCACAAAATAAAGCTGCCAAAACTTTCATGGTGATTTCCTTGACATGCAACAGGCACTAGAAGACTTATACACAAATTACGATCTTTTGTGCAGAACAGGTAATCATTTAGAATTTCTCAACCTATCTATATAAAAGCATTTTTCTATATAAAAAGGACACATGCCATACGTTAAATCTAATACAGTACAGATAAACTCAAGAGATTTGTGAGATCACTTCATCTGCTTTATAACAGGTTTGTTACACTCAAATATGAGCTCAGAGCTATGAGATGACTATCACAGTGGATGCATATCACTTCAAAATAGCTTTCACAGCCCAAAAAAATGTGGGCAAGGGACCTGCATAGTTCAGGGTATAGTACATAATTCAACCATCTTTAATTTATTTTTTTTTTTGATAACCATCACAGTTGACTACCACATCCTAAGAGAGAACAATAAAATTGTAGACACTTATTTATATCGTACAAATAACTTTCAAAATTTACCTTGAGAAATTTCTTGCGAAGAAACAGGACTTCCATTAAGAGGTAAAGGTGAAAAATATTGCGTGTCAGCTGCAGAAGTTAAAGGAGAGGATGACTTTCTCATTACATCTTCAGTTTCTCTTGGCCAAAAGTCTGGTACTGTGTTGCTCTGTTCTACAACTGCTGAACCACTTTGAAACAGAGGAAGGAGAAAAAAACAGGAGAATATAATATAAAAAAAAAAGGTCACATCTAATCATAAATACATTTGGATAGTTCAGAAGAATTGTACATGTATCATTAATTATTAGGACTCTTAGTTTTGCCTGGAATTCCAAGATTGAGTGAGAGTATCTTAAAAGTACACAACAGTAATCAATTACAAACAAGACATTTTACCTGTAATTCACAACATACACATACAAAAAATGTATTTTACATGGTTTAACAGTGGAGTGATCAAGCAAACAAAGAAATTTCAAAGTGATGCCTCTAGTTACAGGCAATTATTATACCTTGGTGGCTCACTGACAAAGTCAGAGACACAAACTTACTATTCACTAACTTCAACACTAAACGTGTCGTATGCCTGTTAACTACTAAACTGTCCCTAGACTGTCTTGCAAACTAGTCATGAAATCATTAGGCCATTCAAATAAAAACTTTCAAGGGCAAAAAACAGCAGTCACAGACAGGAACCTGAAAGAAATGTGAAGAAAGGGAAAGCAGTAACTAATTGTCATGATACTGGCACGGTCTGTCTTGCGCCAAGGATGAGAAGATGGACGTGTCGCTTAATCTTGCCTTAAAACAACTTAGAATTCTCAATCAAGGATTCTCTCCTTTCATATGAAGTATGACTGTCTGTAAATAAAAACATCTGTTTCTTAGGAATGTAACTAAATCAGAAAATAGGGTTATTTCCTTTTCTCTCCCAGATAATCTCCTCTGGTACCTTCCACACTGCTTGAGTGGTTCAGTCTTTCCTTGCTTATTCATTCCCATAGGCCCAGCTTCCATCACCAAGAAGTTAGATGACTCTTCCAAGTCCTTGCCATAAGACTAATTAAAAAACGAAACAAAAAAACAAATTCAGCAATAGATTAAAATTCAAAAATATTAACTCAAGTGATTAAAAGCCTACAGATTTTACTTTTGTATGATTTCTATATAGTAAAGGTCCCTGGACACAACAGGAAACACTTACAGGGAACCTTTGAAAAAAATTTTCACATTTGAAGGAGAAGATAAACAATGTGCCAACATTTTTTTTTAATTTTTTTTAATTAGAAAATATTTTACTGTTGCTACTTTAAATATTTAACAGATCAGATCAGTGTGAAGAGTCAATGAAGTTCTTTATTATGTACTTACATCATCAAGGAACTCAATTTTCAAAGTGGACTCCAAACTTTCAGAAATAGTGTCAGGTACTTCCTCTCTAAAAACAGATGTCCAATATCTCTTCACCTCTTCAACTACGAAATATAATTAATTTGATGCATGTCATTTTTTTCCTTATACATTAAAAATATATTTATTGTTTACTATAAATATAGAAAAAGATATACACATATTTATAATATGAATAGTATAAAAAGGCAAACTTTTTCTTTATTATGAAATATCATAAATTTCTCACTTTATTATGACTTACTTCAAGCAGAAACTGCTTAAGTATGCAACTGTTCAGTAATCATAACAAAAAAAGAAACAATCCTTGATAAAGTATTTGTTAGATACGATCAACAGAAATCTGTTACACCTGTTAAGTCATTGACATCATCATCATCATCTTCTCCTCCTTGTCCAAGCACAGCCTGATGTACACTCGGTGTTTGCACAGGCCTTAAATCTTTAATGCAACTACCAGAAATTTGATCAACAGGAGTTCTAAAAAGGAAAAATAAATCAATGTTTAAAAGTCATCATTTTTTATCACATATAATATCACAGTCTTTAAAAAGAAAACCAAAACACACCACGCTACTTACTGCCACAGTACTAACTGCTGCTGAAAAGCAGCAACTCTTCCTAATTTCATTGAGATGACCTTGCACCTCAGGGACTAACAAAACAACACTCTAACGTTTATAAAAATATCCTGAAGATCGTATTATCTCTATGAATCTCCTGTAGGAAATGCCTCAAAATCAAGCAACCATGTATCATTACTAGTCTTCAAATCCTACCAGAAACTGATAACAAAGAGAATCCCTCCAAATATTACCTTTGCAGTTAATTCTGAAATATGAAGTCATCAAGTTTGGTTGTTAGTTATTTAACTAAAATAAAGCACCCTGTGTACAGTCACCTTAACTCGATAATATATCTAATATTTTTAAAGTTTCAATGGAACTTTTGTTAATGCTGTTATGTATTTCTGTCTTCTTTCATTAGTACCAGCAACTTCGACAATACCTTCTGTATTTCTTAAGCAAGAGTTTCTCCATGTAGCTCAGGCCATCCTTCTTGAATTCAACGTGGATAGGTTCCTTCATAACAGTGAGATTGGTCTGTACCTCAGAAATTCCCACTGATTCTATTAGAATTATTTAAAAAAGAAAAAGCAAACATACAGCTATTCAGATTTATAAACTTGCTATTTAACTACATTATTTGAATCAATGTCACATTAGTAGTCTATGCCTAGCTAAGTCTTTGCATAATTCTAAAATTTAAATGGCCAGCAGTATTAGAAAAAATTAAAATAAAAAAAGGAAATCAGTATAATATTTTTTGTCCATAAATACACAAAGAACAAACACCAGCCATGGACTAGAGGAGACTGCGCAAATGCAATCAGACAAGAGGATTTTTTTCATATTTTTCCATGCATACTTCAACTGATTGCATCTTTTCACTGGGACAAAGAAATATTAAAAGCCTGTGGAAGGCAAGGAGAAAATGTACTTTGATACAACATGTGAAATCCTGAGCCATGCACATTCCTTGTCTCTGTTAAAAAGCTGTGACCTTATGTTTAAGCGTTAGTTGATATTATGAATATGATGAAACAATACCATAGAGAAATACAGGGCCACAAGCTGAACAATCTGGCCAACACCACAGCTCGTGACAAGAACTGGGATAAACATTAATCTGCACATTATTATAAAAACTTCAGAGGTTGTTAATTTATAAAGGAACACAGAGAGAAAACTTAAGAAGCAACATTTATTACTCTAGCAGCACATGTACCTTCATTAATCAAAAATCTGCTATCTCACCAAAATGGCTCCTAATGTTTTTAAAAATGTAATTAAAACAAAACAAAAAAAAAAATCATACCTGTTAGGACCTCACTGGCATGCAGTTGTTCTCTGTGATCACAATTATCTTTTCTCCACTGAAGCAAAGCTTCCTGAAAAGACTTTGCAGATTCCTCCTCATTAAATACATCATTTAGTAATAATCCTTTGTCCTGGTTTTCAGGGCCTGTACAGGTTGATTCTGAGGATGGTTCCTAAATCAGTGCCACAACACGATTAATACAGCACTTCTGATGATAATCCTCTCCCCCGTTACATGCAATAGCAACAATGTTTTTAGTACCAGCTATGGAAATGTAGGACACTTTTCCAGGCTTAATCTAGCTACACTGATAATCAAGATCACACAGTTTTTAGGTGGTCTTGCTCACAACTAAATTGCAATGCTCTATCAAGAGCAAAAACCAAGTTTGTATGAGCACAGCAAAAGAACAGTGAACTTAAATGCTTTTAGCAGGCAGAAAGCAGTAGCCATGACTAGCCCACACCCCCTCGTGAACAGGGGTTAGTGGGCTGTGCAAGTCCAACAGCCTGACCCCTCACTTGGCAGGCTGCAGGAAAACCCCAGGCCACCCTACCTAAGGTCTCCTAAACAAAAATAATTCACTTTTTTCTCTAAACTGTACACTGCCCCAGCACTACCTGCTGATGTTAGGTGAAAACTTGTCTGATGTGACCTGATGCTTGCTGTTTACTTCCTTCTGCTCATGATTAATTTTTGATTCCTTCATATTTACCTCCTTGACGAAGCGATCAACGACTTCCAGTTTTCCAACACGTATATCAGCTTCTCTCTGTTAATGAAGCATTACAAAACCATTATTTTGTTATAAACACACTCAAACACTTCACAAACAGCACATTAAAAGCAAGCAGGTAACCATATATTGAAGAGACATGGTGACATAAGCACATAATAATTTCAATAGTGTGCAAATGTGTGAGCAAAAATTCAATGCTCTGAATATTTCATTAGGTACTACACGAGACAGACTACGTGAGGTGCTTCACGCAGCACGTATCATTTCAACAAATTTATGAGCTATGTACTTTATTAATGAGGTTCTGCTTCCAGAAGCTTTTCAGCAGAGAGAAGCACATCTCTAGAGGTCAACACGAAGAAAACGTTCATTTAAAGAACTGGAATCCTTGTTCACACACAAAAATTAGTCGAGGAAAACCCAAACTATGAAGATGAGCTTGACTGAAAATAGCTACAGAAGGAGAAAACCAGTTTTACTCACTTTAGGACTTTACTGATTTGCAACCTTAATCAGAACAAAGAAAATTACTGCAGAAATGTGATACAAATGTTTTTGATTAGCAACTCTCAAATGATTATCAAGAAAAACAAAAAAATATTTTACGTTCATCATTTCCATATGCTGCCTCCCTACACACAGAGAAAGACCAGAAAATCTTTTGTCTCTAAAATCCTCAGGTAAGGCACATATTCTTACCACGAAAGCACAAGAGCAGTCCAAGTACAGGCAGAAAGTGTAATCAGAAGGAGTCAAAGATGTCAAGCAGCCATTGCAAAACTATAAAGTACTCGCATCTCCTCCTTTCCACTTACTCTACACTATAATCGACCCAATGACTTCACAGCTGCTGGTTGCACATTAAATAGTGGGAACGCAGGGAGACTTCAAACAGCAGTTACATTTTCCCTTTGCAAACTTCCTCTGATTCTTATACTGCAACACTGGATGAATAAGGTTCAAAGTTTACTCTATGAACATGTGTGCTTTGTCTTCTTCCTCAATCCTAATAGTCCATAACCATCCATAACCAACAGCAATTTTCTCCACAACACCACCAACAGGTTGCTAACACATATGGAGAACACAGAAACATATCCTTAAAGTGGAAAATAAAGAGGGAATTTCTCCCTGTAACTGCCCTTCTCCTTGGCTCATTCTGTTTTCTATGGCACATACATTCAAAATACATACACAGCTAAAGACTGTGTTGATTTCTTTTTTGCCACATGAAGAAAATAATCTTAATGTTACAGCAGAAGCCACATTCCTCTGAAAGAGATCATTTTATTGATGTAGCTCGATACATCTGCTCTCTTTAAGCAGGCACAGTTGTGTTACACATGGTTCTTTTTGGTACTCGGGCACACACTATATAATAGCAGATCAATATTTGAAAGGTTCACCCTGCTGTGTTATTTGTATAAACAGCACGAAGATCTTCACTGAGATTTTGCTCAATGGCTTCAAAATACTTAAGCAAGAACTGCAAAACTGATTTGAACTTGCAAAGCTTATTTGTTCTGGCCTCATGGTGAACTTCCCAGCAGTTTAACTCAGACACTCATTTTCTCCTACTTCATCATTCATCAGAAACATCTAGTCCCAAAGCAGCAGTCAGGAAGGGGGCAAGGAAGAGTCCAAGGCAGGAGCAACGTGACCCATGAAGGATGTTAGAAAGCACTTCTCTGGATTGTCACAACTGGAGTGAGTGCCCTGAAATTTTCTATTGCATAATTTGTCTAAAACCAGCTTTTCCTCCTCACGCAGACAGCTAAAACTCTAGATCAAGAATCACATAACCTCACTTGGACTGTAATATCCTTTCCTCCCTTTGAAAAAATGGAATTACAGCTATTTTCTATTCCAAATGCTGAAGACACTGATTCTTCTTCCTGCACCCTCTTGTTAGCTCCCTTTATTAACAGAGTCAGTTTCTAATTAGTAGCGGAGTAGGACTGGAGAAAAAAGGGGAGAAAATTGGGGGAGCAGGCAGGAAGAATCACAACAACTAAGGTAGAATTCAGCTGATGGAGCTGGAGAGATCACAGCACTCCATGATTCTCTGTTTAAATCCTTGTATTCTTCTACTGAACCACGCTATGACCTTTAATCCCTACAAATAAACTCTAACATCTCAATCCAGTTTGTTTACCACCGAAAATGGAATAACTGGCTTATCCCTTCAAAAAAAGAAAAAAAATAAGAAGTCTAAAAGAAAATGCATTACAAATGTCAGGATTTATCACTGATATCTTACTACTGCTACCACCCAGTTTTCAGTTCTAAGTTTAAAAGATCTGCTACAGTCTTAAAAAAAAAAACAAAAAACAACCAACACACACACACAAAAAAAAGCCTGCATTTAGATGGGTGTGGTAAAATATTTTTATACCCATGCAAAAAAGCTCCTGGAAAAACTTTTATATCTACCTGTATAATTCAGAATAGCACCTGATCCTAAAAAGATTATTTATCACTGGCTCTTTGTTACTCACGGGATGGTGCATCCTTCTGTAACTGCTTTAAATTTTCACCTGAAGCTTTTTCATCAAATGATGTAATCTTTCTGCTAACATACTATAAGCAAGGATCATTTCAACAAGGATGTATTTATCAGACCAAAGGCTTTAACAATTTACTGCACTGCTAAAAGGATTATATTTCTGGGAAGAAAGAATGAGATCATCAGATAAATTTTAGCTGGATAACTGAACGACAAATCCATTGACATCATCGAAAAGTAAAATTTGCCTTTGTGAAAGTCTCATACATTAGAATGGAAATAGTTAAATCAACTTACACTCAGTCAAGACCCTATCTACCTTTTCTATGTTTATATTAGCTTGCATTGTCAGGGTAAAGTAACCTTTATTCTTTGTAAGCTTAACAATGAAATATGAATCCAAGCATTTTTTCATAAAAAGTTCCCGACATGGCTGCTCTTTGATCCATTAAGTCCAGCTCTACAACAGTCACCACTAACACAGGAATGAAAGAAAATTAAAATAAGCATAATAATACGTATTCTTAAAATTATTTAAAAAAAAAAGTGAACCATGGCATTTATCAAACCCAAATTTGGAATAACGTTAAGAGAAACAAATATAGTGATTTTGTCCAAAAGATAAAATCCAAAATGCATGTACAATTTGATCCAAAATGCATGTACAATTTGGTCCAAAAAGGAGTTGTTACAACCCATATGTATGAAATGCAATCAAATATTATGCAGGAAATTCAAGTTTGTTACAATTAAGTGTTATATAATAATTCCAGAAGGAAATTTTACTACCAGAATTACAAAATTTATAAAAATGTTATTGTTCCAGAACAGATACACAATGAAGTTGTACGCTGAATATTACTGTGCTGAATAACAAAATTACACACAACTTAAGTCTCCACTGCACTGTATAACATTTTACTTTCATCGCACTTTGTTCCTTTGAGAGCAAAATCCAAGCACGAAAGAATCAGGAATGCTGACAGCAGCATCTGATAGAACAGACGTAAAGAGGAATTCTGAGTTTCAAGCTTCCTTACAGGTAAATCACAAGTAACACAGATTGTTAAGCACACTCACAAGGGTATGTGACTGATGAACAAACACTTCAGACCATTTTTAGGTGTTACAATTTTTTTTTTTTTTTTTTTCTAAACAGCTTGACATCCAGCAATTTGGAAAAGCGTCAAATACAGCAGTAACAGTATTTCAAAGAGGCTGTGCAAAACCCTCCTGACGCAGCACTTGGTTACCTATTTCCAACCACATAACACTACCCTCGGTTCCGTTTAACTCCGTTTGTGCCTAATACAAAATCCAGCCAGCCTCAAGAAAAGGGCAGGATTTATTTTTTTTCCCCCCAGTAAGTACTGCAATAGAACAGCTACGCTGTTTGCTTCTATAAAAACTTTTTAACTGAAAAGCTTTCTCCCGCAGAAGTGCGATGTGACGGTGTGGCATTAACCCCTTCGTGACCGCAGCAGTGGTCACACAGGGCGCTGTGGCGGCCCGCCAGCCTTCCTGCGAAGCACTCGGCACCACCTGGGGTGTCGGGGGGAGGCGGGGGGGGCACCAAGGGCAAAGCAAACCGCGGCCCAACCCATCCCACCCCAAACCGCCCGCGCCCGCAGCCTCCGGCGGGG